ACAGAACTGTAAAAAAAAAAAAAAAAAAAAAAAAAGAGTACATATGCTGACCCTAGAGTGAAGAAAAAACAATACAAGATCGTTGCACAATTGTAATTTTTAAATACACCCAGTTGTGGGGCGCAACTTGGAGTAAATTGCACAGCGCCGAGGTGATCGAAAAAGAGGGAAATGCAGAACCCCCAGCGCGTTGTCATGTTCAAGGGCAGAGGGGCGTTTTCCCGCTAAAAATGAAAAGTAAAAAATAAACATTTCCATTTTTGCTCATTCGTTTGTCGCCGTATGCACACCTTTTACATTACCCCCGCTGGTTGCTAAATTTTGCTAAATTTTGCAAAATATAGCAGAAAAAAAAAAAAAAAAGAAAAAAAAAGTAGATATCAATATGAACAATGGCTCACTACATGTTTGCCTCCCACTCAGACGAAATCTAACTCAATGTTAAACATGGGTTTGTTTTTAAAAATATTCAAGTTCAATTCACTCATTCGTGATATGAGCGATTTCCTCTTTTTTAAATTCTCTTTTATATAACTGAGGAAGATAATTTTCGTTTGAATAATTCTCAACAATTGTAATTTCTTCTTATACTTTGCGGAGTTTTTTTCGTCTTCACTGAACTGAAGACTTAAAATATTTTTCAATTTTTCCTTGTCGTTTTCGTTTTCCTTCAAACATGCTATTACACCGTTGTACATTTTTATCTCCAAATCCTCATGAAACCCTTTGCAGATAAATATGAAATGGTTTAAAATTTTCAAGGACAGCGATCCGTTGAATAGAAAGTTTTCCGTGGAGTCACTTCCATCCCCCGTTGCAGCACCGGTTGGTGCACCCACTCCTGGACTTGCTCCTGTGTCTCCCTCGGCCTGTCCTTCTACCACGTTCAATGCACCTGTGTCGTCCAACATGTCTGTTTTAACTTCTTCCCGTTTGTTAAATAACTGTTTTTGTATCTTCTCCTGAGGGGATGTCTCTTTTTGTGTCCGTTTCTTCCCTTCACTTGTTGCATTTTCCGAGCTGTTGGAGGGGACCTTTCTTTTTTTCCCACTGGGAGCACTATTATTCGTGTCGATATTTTTTCGAGTGTTCTTCTTTTTTGTTCCTATTTTGAACGACACATCTGAGTCGGACGTTGAGTCGCTACTGGAGCTGTCTTCAATTCTGATGTACTTTTTATCCACATGGTTTGTCTTTTCGTCCTGCTTATTCTTCAACGTGGTACTTTTTCCATTACGGCTTCGCAAAATTGCACGGTAATTTTTATTCATTTCTTCGGAAGCGGTGCTTCTCCCTTGTGGGTCTTCCTCCGAATGTTCATCGGAAACTTTGTCCGAGTTTTTTTCCTCCTTGAGGTGTTTTCTCTTCACCCCTGCACTGCGCTTCAATGGTTTTATCCTACTGTCCTCATTTCTTTTTTTCCCCCCCTTCTTGTCTTTTTTGCCAGATTGGTCATTTTCACCGTTTGTCTGATTGGACGATAACCCCTTTGACTTTTCACTTAGGTGAATGCTACCCTCATCCAGCAGCTGCATGGACTTATCTGAGCTTCCCTTTAGTACGTTTTCCCCTGCCGCTGCGCGGTCTCCCTCTTTTGGCGCGCCACCCGTTGGACCAACCTCCGTGTCATCCTTTAGGTTAAACATTTTTTCGAAAAAGTAAAAATTATTTTGGTTCAACTTTTTAAAAGAAATAACGTATAATGTAGTAAAAAATATTTTGAAGAAGTATGGTAATATTTTTTCACTGTAGAAAATTCTAAAGAGCAATAAGTTTAACTGTGTGTAGTAGTTTTTAATGTTTTTTTTTTTTATATAGTAACTACGAAAGTTAGGGTATGTAATATAATTTTCTTGTACAAGTGCTGGTTTGTTAATACTATTACTATCCATTAGAAGAAGCAGAATAATGCTCGTTCGGACTGTATACAAGAGGACAGAATGGTTTGTTATATCAGCTGGTAATCTTATTTTCCTTTTTTTATTTTCCTTATGCACACAATTATATGTATCTGCAAGTTTGATGAATTTCTTAACAGATGAGATGACTTTTTTTAAAATATAATTTTTGTTTTCATTTTTTTCTACTAAAATGATGTATACAATTTTGTAGAAAATGGCCTTGTCGTACTTTAGGTTGAAGAGAAAAAGTAAACAGCTGATCAGGAAGCACAGGTTATCACTTTTCAACACATGATCGTTACAGGTAAGATTTTTTAAAAAGAAAAATTTGTACTCCTCTGAGGATGTTTTATGTCCACTTTTTTTGTCAATATAATTCTTAATTTCGCAATTTAATAAAAATTTAAATAAATCAATTAGCTCCTCTTTAAAGCGGTTAACATTTTTCAGTTTTTTATGTTCAAAAATTGTATCCTCTGTGCTATTCCGCTTCAAGTGCATTAGGTACATGTCTGCCTCTTTTATACAAAAGAGACAATAAATTTTTTTTAAAATTTTCAAGCACAGATATTTCAAATATCTCTCGTAGTAAGCATTTTGCATCTCCTTCGAGTACAAAAGGGAAAGTAGCTTGTTGGCAACGCTGTAGTAGTCCTCCACATTCATTTTCAGGCAACTGTCGTATAGTTTGCTCTTTGCATTGTTCTTGTTCTTCTGGGTAAAGATAAAATACAGTATGATCACATTGATGTAGAGCGAGGACACCTTTCGGCTGCTCGCGTGGCTGGGGTCGAAGAAGCTCACTTTGGAGGATGTCCCCTTGGACAGGATGCGCGACAGGTGGCTGTCGTTTGGGCAGGCCGCCTCCTTATCGCCTTCCTTTTCAGTTACGTTATCGGCCTCGTTATCTGCGTCCGCCCCGGTGAGAATCGCCAAGCTGTAGGCGTAAACCTCCTGTAGCTTGGCCCTGTCCAGGATGCACTTCATGCACGAGAAGATAATTTCTTTGTTGGAAAACTCGCAAAATAAAATATCATAAATGATGAATTTGAAATTGTAGTACAAGTTATTCTCCTTCAAAATGTTTTGAAGCAATTTTAAAAAAACATAAAAAATGTTCTGATACAATTTTACCTTTTCTTCAATCTTGTGGAGGGTAGCAGTGGCTCTTTCATCAGTGGAGAGTTGCAAATTCGTCGCGTTCTCATTTTCTTCCTCCACCTCTGATGTGTTCGCCTTTACGACATCCTTATCCTTCCTAAGGTTATAATATTTTATATCATTTTCAAATTTCTTCGTATTTTTATTATATACTTCGTTGACATTATTACCCTGCATTTTTTGTTGATCGATTATTTTAATTTTCTTCATCTTATTTAGTGATAATCTTAAAATGTAAAAAATGGACACGAGGTATTTCTCCACCTTCACATCCTTCGCGAAGGTGTGCAGCAAAATGAAGGACATATTCAGAAAAATTTTATGATTGGAGAGTTTTTTTTCCTTTCCCTCAATGACTAACTTTATATTCTGTATGATGAAAAAATAAAAGTCGTCAAACAGGAACACCAGACTGGCGTTAAAAATGGGATAAAGTACCTCCAAGCTGGTGTTAGCTAGCTGTTTTATTATAGCCAAATTGGTTTTTAAAATTTTGCTGTACACGTTGTCCTTATTGTTCAGAAAGAGCTCATTGATGAGTTTATCTATTTCTCTTTTTTTGGCGAAGAATGAATTTAGCTTTTTTACGAATTTCCCTTTTTCGTCTTGGTCCTTTGTGGAATCGTACCCCTTGGTGTCTATCCCTTCTCGCACGTCTGCACTGCCTCCATCACCAGCGCTCATCTCTTTCTTATCGCTCTGGTTGCTACCAACACTGTGCTTCTTCAATTTGGGCGTCTCCTTCATGACCAAAGGTAAGCTAAAATCAGGGGAGCAGAACTCCTCCAGTTTCTTTTCCGCGTTTGCCTCGAAATATTTCAGTGTCCAATAATTTTTCTGGAAAAAATTTATTATGTTATTTTTTTCCTTCTCCTCATTGCTGTGCGGATTTTCCAAATTGTTTGTCACGATTTGGAGCGAATTGTCATTAGTTTTTTCTGACGAATCGTTTCCCGACTGTTCACTCTCTGGGTGGTCTCCTGATGGGTGTCTTTTTTTTTGGCTATTACGCTTCTCCTTTGTGTCACCCTGTTCGTAATTTTTCTTTTTTGTCCCCTGTCGGCTGGTGGAGTCGTCAGCGTTTTCCCCATCGCTGCTGCTACTACTATTGTGCTCGCCATCCTCTTGCGGCTCGTCGTCTAAAGCGTTTCCCTCTCCATCACTACGTACTGATTTGCTGATCACATTTGTGCAATTCTGAAGTTTGAGTTTGAGGAATAATTCCAGTTGGTGCGTTACCTTCCTCTTGGTCATAACGAGAGCAGTTAAAAAGTTTCTAAAGTTGTACTTGAGAGCGTAGAGCAAAAAATAAAATTGATAAATGACGTAGAAAAGATCCTTCTGCTGGAAAGCCTTCTCATAGAGACTTTTAAAAAGATATTTTTTAATAAAAGCAAAGGACAGCATCAACCGTTCGTTGAATATTTTTTCTTTAAATTTTTCCAAAAAATTATCAAATAATTCAACGTAAATGAATAAAAAAGGTCTGAGGATATTTTCACAGATCTGAAAAAATTCGTCATTCAAATTCATTTCATTTTCATAAATGATTTTTATTAGCTTATTGAAAATGTGATCATAAATGTGTAGATACAAATTTGTCACTTGACAGAAGTAGTCTGTGTTGCTCTTGCTAATGATATAGTAAGCTTCTTTAAAAAAGGCACACGTATACTTGTCTATGTGTATATTATTTGCCACAAATGGAAGATATTCCTGTTTCATTTTTACGCCACTGCTGTAATGTCCTTCATTGTCTTCCTCCGCATTTTCTGTGTGGTGTAAAAAAGGGGCAATAGGTGCATCGTTAAATGTAGCCTGGTTGTAGACTAAGTGGTCACTATCCATATCGTATATGAAACGAAACACATTCTTCAAATGAATAAAAAATTTCGATAAATGTTGATGTTTTCTTGAATGGTATTTTGAAAAATTGGCTAGCAGCATATTTCTGACAGTGCCCTCTTCGGCACTAATAAAAACGAAAAACAGCGACGATGAGAATAATTCTTGTAATTGGCCATTTTCATTAAGTAACTTTAGCATGTGTATATAGTATTCGTAATTATTTTTATACTGCAAATTTTTGAAGGTGATAATACTTATAAGCAATTCGAAATAGAACAAGTAATCTGTAAGGTGTACTTTTTTGTCTACCAGCTCCACCTCCTCATTTAAGAGTTTTTTTTTTTTTCTCACTTCTGTATCATTTGCCTTGCTTAAATAATTTATCGTATTAACCAAAATGCCATCCACAACGCTGTGCATCTTATCCTTGTAAATTAAAAACAAAAACAGAAATAGCTCCTTGTAAATGTTCTCCTTCCCGTGGCTAATGTAATAATTTTCGATAAATTTTTCTATTAAGTAAAAATTGATGCTTTCAAAGCAGGATTGGAAATACAGGAACAGGTAGAAGCAACTCAGCTCCTTGTCTAGGCACTCCATTTGTTCGATCACGCCCGCTGCGCATGTGTCTCCCGCTTGATCATCGCCATCACGACCATCTATGCTTTTTAGTATAGTGCCCTTTTTTCTCTCCTTTCCGCCTCTCTTCGTAACGGTCCCTCCCTCCTTGCCGCTTCCCTTCGTGACCGCTTCTCCCTCCTTGTTGCTTCCCTTCATGGCCACTACGCTGGCAAAGTACTCCCTCATCTCTTTCTCGTCATTCTCATCTGGCAGAAAGAGTGCATCCAAATTGAACCTATTATCATTGACGAGTAAAATTCCCCCATTTACTTCCCTCCTCACAACGTTAAGCAGCAACTGGAATTTTCCGTCTGCATATTCGCTCGCCCTTCTGAAGCTTTTATTTTGATATTGGGATATGTTGTATAGTGATTGATATATGCCGAAGAAGGAACGTTGGTTAATAAAGTTGATTAAATTTTTTAGCAGAAAATCTAAAATTTCTTTTTCATTTTTTATAATATTTTTTAAAAATATTCTTCTACAACAGTCGCATACATTTTCAATGAATTCCTTTTTGCTAATTTTGCTGTTTTTTTTTTCTTTAATAAAATATTCATACAGGAAAAACGCTTTCTGCAAAAATTCTACTATTTCTTCATTTACGAGATGGTCGTCCAGTTTTTCTTTACAAAAGGTATTTAAGATGATAACATTTTCCTCATTGTAGATATTTTTTTCTTTAAAAAACGCCAGAGCTGTATTTTTCAAGTTTTTGCTGTCTACCCCTTTTTTGAAGTGGATCGTGTCGTCTCCCTTAATTGTGCTTAGCCATTTTTTCTTTTGTTCTTCTATATTCTTGTTGCACGTAAGTGAACGTACATTTCTATTTGCGTTTTTCATATTTCGCGTCAGTCTTTTGGGCTATTTTTTTCTGTCACTACTGTGAGGACGTGCGAGGAATTCCACGCGTCGTACGAACACAAGCGGTGTATGTGTATGCGCCTGTTCGTGTATATAAGGGTATTCACGCGGAAGCTTATTCACTTATGCGCTGCGCATGTATGTACAACTTGTGCAACAGTTGCTCTCCTTTCAGAGGGTCATGAACCATGTGCTCCATCCAATTCTGCGCGCGATTTGGATCCCACTCAAGGTGTGTGCTTGTTGACCTGTTGCATAATTCTTGTACATTTGTGATCTCAATTCAAAGTGACAAAAAAAAAAAAAAAAAATGCAAAAAATTATCCTTAAAAAATTGTAACCCACCGTAACTGGTAAATTAAAAAAAATAAAAAAAAAAAAAAAATTTGAACATCACACATATGTTTACATGTTCCACTAATGGGTGGAAAAAATGAATTCGCAAGTGTGGTTTATTCTTCGCACAGCTTTTGCCATTAGAGTGGATCACTCGGTGTGGTTCCTTTTAACGGGGAGACTCCTGGCAGGCCCGGTTCGCCAAATCTTCCACTCGTCAAAGGGGGCAATGCACGATAAAACAGAATGAGCAGCGTGCTTCACTCGTCTGTACAAGTTGGCACACATTCGCGAACGCTTTATGACACCCTTCCTCCACATTTGGCGACCTGCTTCTTAACTCATTCGCCTTTTTTATTTTTCACCACTTCCATGGTGGTTGGCTAGGTCAAATTATTTTGTGCCTTATTTTGAAAATGGTTCAGGTTCAGGGCAAAAAAAAAATGGGTAATAGCCGCGTGGATCAAAGCATTGGTGCGAATGTTTTTTTCTGGTGTTCACATGTCTGCCAGAGGGTGTGCAAGCATATGGCCGTAAGCATGCAGTGTAAGCACGTGGGTGTAAATGCATGGACATACATACGTATACGTTGGCGCTTTTACACCTAGATCGTCCGCGTCCCCGGCCTACATATGTGCACCTGGGGGTGTGCGCGGGGTAGCCCAGTTTGCGACGATGAAGTAAATGCGGCTTGGCCTGCTCTGCGCTTGTGGAACGGATATATGCACATACGCATGTGATCACAGCGCATGCATTAATCACTACTAACGAGTGGGGGAGTGAAGTGGAAACAGTTGTTTATTGGGCCCATTTAAAACGTTTAAACGAGAGAGTAAAGGATTGGCGTGGGTGTAAACAACACATTCTTTGCGGTTTGCGCTGAACAGTTTTTTTGGGTGTAACTATACCAAAAAAAAAAAAAAAAAAAAAACTCAGTAAAATGCAACATTCCATATACAAACGTACACAAATGGGGAAATTTTCGTAGAAGGATGTAGGGTGTTAAGCAGGATTGATACAACGTGTATTCGCATAAGTATGTACGTATGTATCACACATGTAAGCATATGCGTGTACATAGTTCTTGTTGTTCCCCTTGAACCACATAAAAACGCCGTTGCCTACCCGCGTGCGAGACATATTCAGTTTTTACGCCCATAACACCATTTCGTGCGAACAAGCATGTAATTAACTTTTTTATGTTCCTCACATTTTTTCCGATGCTTATCCTTACCATATGCACGAACATATGCAAATGTATGTACTGGGGGGAGGGTCACAAATTTAACTTAGGCGTGCATAGCGCACTCTGTGTTTTTACAAGCACTGCCACACAATTCTTCCAATAATTTGTAGGAGGTTTGCAAAATGAAGAGTAAACAGAATTGTATGAAAAAAAAAAAAAAAAATAATACGTTGGTGAAAAATTAAGGTGAACAAATGAGACGTATATGCACGTATGCATATTTATAATATACATAAACAGGGACATACATAAATGTACAATTAAAAATGGGACAAAAGATGAGTTGAACTTAACAAATAATATCGTCATGCTTACAAAATATTATTAAAAACTAAACATTATTTAAAAAAAAAAAAAAAAAGGAAATTCTGGGTGATGAAAAACCCTTGAAATTGTTTTAAATGGTAGGAGATCCTTTCTTCATGTGTGCGTCTACACAAACAATGCAAGCGAAGGGTATGTAACCATTTAGGAACCCTCAGCTGCCGTTTGTGTCAATTTTTAGATTAACCAAAATGCCCGATCCTTTTATGTCCTTCAAGTATTTGTCGCACAGCGGAACAAATCGGATGCTGCAAAGGAGGCAAAATGAAGAAAAAATTAAAATGTAGTAGAAAAAATGTGCAGATGCAAATAGTAGCAGCGGGGGTATATCATGCTAACGCTTATGTGTTAAGACCCCCCTATTTTGCTCTCCCCTTTTTTGGGGGAAGGAGGGCCACGTGTGCTTTACCCTTCTCGGAGGCATTTAACTGGGAAACAGGCGCAAGCAATTAGCTCACTTTTGACGGTGTCCTATACAGAGGGGTTAAAAAAAAGTGAAATAAATAAATGAAATAAAATAAAAATAAAATACATTATGATTTGCCCAATGTGTGTTTGTGTGTGAGGCGGCTCTCCCATTACGCGAACGAATGCATTGGGGCAGTAGACAACACGGTAGGCACCTCTAACAACTGCGTCGTAACTGTCTTTGTTAACTTACATAAGTTTTCAGCTCAAACACAATGAGGGCCAGTGAAGGGTACATTATGTTCATTTGGAAATTTGATGGCTTTGACCAACTGCAGGGAGGGGATGAGGGAATAGATCGATGGTGTATGAAACAGAGGCAAGTGTAAATGTGTGCATTTGCATGGGCCGCTATCCATACATAAAGAAGCCTTACCAATAGTTGAGGTCGTAAAAATTGACCTTGGCGATCTCCGTCTTGAAGTAATACTTGTTCTCATTGTAGCCGTGCACAGATATGGTGACATACAAATAGAAAAACAAATTGTTTGCCTTCTTCAACTCCTCAAAAGTTTGGTAAAAACTGTTGTTCTTCGACTTGGATGAATTATTCTTAGTCGAATCGGTATTAGCATTATTAGACGTAGTAGTATTGCTGCTACAGCTGTTAAAACTACTGCTGTGCGAGAGGGAAGAACACAATAGGAAGGATTTATATTCAGATAGCATGTCTTCATATTTCTCCTCCACATTCAAAGATTTGCTATGTATATAATTAACGTCATTGTCATTATCGTTAAATTTTTTCATGAGAAATTCATGACTTATATTTTTTTTTTTTTTATTGTCATCTGATTGTACATCTGAGAAAAAGAAATTTTTTTTTTCCTTTTCTAATTTTTGTACATGTTTAAAATTTTTCATTTTTTTATTAATTTTTTTGTGTGTCTGAATACGTTGTATCATATCCATTTTGAATAATTCCTTTTTTAATTTCTTCTCCTGATATTTATTTTTGATGGAGAATAATAAGTTTATTTGATGCAAAGACAGAATCTGCAGATCGAGGAACAAAATGTTGTAGTCCTTTTTTTCATTAAATCTTAAAATTTCTGGCTTTAGGATGTACCCTGAGTGCTTTCCCCCATTCTCTAGAAACCTTCCTTTGTTGAGCAGCATGCTCAGCCCATTGTACTGATAATTTAACGCTACAAATTGAATTCCTGCGCTCCAGAAAATGAGTGGATTAAAGTTGGTGGATGCCAATCTTGTGCCAGAAGGGTACACTCTCGTCAAAGTTTTCTGGTTGTACTTTATTATCTCTTCTTCATTCTTTTTAATCAACTTGATAAATTTATTTTCGCTAATCGAGCATATTTCGTTGTATGTCCTATTTTCGCAAAAACTCTGAAATGCGTATCCCTTCAAGCAGGAGTACTCATTTAGTATATTATTATTTCTTGCGTTTTGATTTTCTGTTTTTTTTTCGCATTCTTCGGGGGTTCCATTTACCATTTTTTGGCTAGCCAGGAGCGGCGCACCACCGTCATCTTCTTCCTTAGGGATGCCATTTGTGGGGGCATTACGGAAGTTATTATCATTTCCACCGCGAGAGGAGTTTCTAGTGTGACCTTTTCCCTTTTTGTGCCTCGAAAGCTTCGTGCCTTTTACTACCTGGTTTTTGTCACCACTATGGGAGGAATCATCTAGGGGATCGTTCTCCACAGCATGAGGGTCATGACACAGACTGCTCATGTAGATGCTTCTCTTCTTCCTCTCATGGATGTACCCCTTCTGGATGCTGTTCTTTATATAGCTGTCGAATTTTTTCTCAATGTCATCATTGTCGCGGCGATTATGTTTTCTCTCAATTTTGTTTTCATCACTATTGTCGCTGTCTCCGCTTTCCCCACTCCCATCACGCAGCAGGTTGTGTACACCTCCCAAGGGGCCATCCTGTTCCTCCGCATCCTCATCGTGGTCTCCAATGATATCTGAAATGTACCCTAGCTCATCGTACATGACGCTCTGCAGACCTTCAAAGATGAAGTAAAACCCAGAGTTATCATTATTTTCAAAGTGTTTATATTTCACCAAAAATCTGTTTTTACAATTCTCCGGCGTTATATTATTAATTTCATCTCTACTCTTAGGGATGTATAACTGATTTCCTAAAATGCATATCAAAATTTTAGCAATCAAATTCTTGTGCTTATTTTTACAATGGATTTCTAATGACAGGATGATGGGAAAGGGGGAAGTTGTAAATCCGAAGAGTTTACACGCAATGAGAGTATCACAGAAAAGGATAGAAGAGGTTAATTTATATCCATAGAAGCCATGATAAACCACAATGTTTTTATTAAAATAATAGCAATCGAATTCGACACATCTACACCCATCTATGAGGATGTAAATATATTGTTCGATATTGCTTGAGCTAAAGATTTGTTTCCTCCCAAGGTAGGTGTTGTGGCTGCTATTAATCCAGTAGTTACAAAGGGGTAAGTTCATATTTTGATAAACCTTGGAGTACTCTGGGCACATTATGCTATTTTCCTTTGATAGGAGGAAGTACACCAACCCGATCTGCGTCAAATAATGTTTGTCTTCATTAATATTAACAAATGGAATGTTATACTTTTTTATCGTGTTTAGCAATTTATATATTGCTTTGGCTCTAATGTAGTAGGACTCGCTTTGCGCGCTTTGTAGGTGTTCCTGGGGGGGGATGTAATCCCTACCATAGCGACTACTCACTTTGGCGTTGTGCGCACTGCCATTGTTGTGATCGCTGCGGTAGTCGCGCCTACTGTTTGCACTTCCCCACCTGTTATTCCCACTGAAACCATCGCTGTGGTAGCCGGCACCGGTTGTGAAACCGTCCCGCTTCATACCTCTCTCCCCCTTTGCGGTGCCCAAACCTAATTTACGCCTCAGTATATTTAACACGGTGATGTAATCTTCATCCAGACACATCCAATTTTCCGGCAAAAGAAATGCATTTTGTAAACTGTCCATATGGAAGTGGAAGCCATTTTGATTAAACCCCTCCTTATTCATATTTTTTAAAAAGGTTCCTCCTCCCCACTGGTAATTGCCATAATTGTTCTTGATCGAATTAACGGCAACGATGTCTGCCCTTGTTTTGTGCTTACCAACCGAATTGGCTTTTCCGCAGTAGTTATTTTTACTTTTTCCCTCCTCCTTCTTATGTGTTCCTGCAGCGTCATTTTCTGCATTTTTATTACCACCCCTTGGCGTCGTATCCACTGCGAGAGGTATTCCGTCTTCTGTGTCGCGTCCTCCCTTCAAGAGGCCAACCGCAATGGAAAGAACCGCGCCGTTCGATGTCCCACAAGTGGATGGCAACGCCTGCAGTCCATTCTTTACGCGCATCCCCTCATGGACAAAAAATTCTCGGTCCATTTGACGCGCAATGAAAATCCGCTCCTCACATTTCCCCTCACACTGCACATCAATCAAGAATTCGACAAAACTCCTATTGTCTATACAGCTGGAGTTCTTCCCTTTATACATATCAAAATATGTGGTAATATGTTTATTTGAAAAAATGTGCTCCAGAATTTTGGTAAAACCTACGTAGTTAACAGTGCCTTTATTTTTATATATTGAAAAGTAATGATACAAAATTTTCATGTTCAAATAAATATTGAGACTTCTGAGGATGATGTAGAGCTGGGAGAGGGTCAACGCATTAATATCCTTCAAGCCAGATATGATATAATTATCGTAGAGTTTGTTGCTTTCATATATAAAGGACTTCATTTTTTTTTTTCCGGATCCTTTGTTAATAAATTTGTACTGATAATACATCAAGCCGAAGAGCCACATCTTCCACCTCTGTATGTCGAGGAAGGTAATTCTTAAATTTCTTTGGGCACTTATAATTTCAATGGATAAATTTTTTTCTTCTTCTTTTTTTTTAAAAAAGGAAGATTCTGATCCGTCCAATATTTTTATAATATCCCATATGTACAATGTTGGGTTTTTATTTTCTTTTACTTTTTTTTTCTTTTTGGAGTTCCATCGTATGCAATAATTATTTACATCTAGATAGAAGAATTTCAACGTCTTCTTTTGAAAAATATTACTGCTGTTCCATTTGTACACATATTCTCCTTCTTTCATTTTTTCTATGCACACGGGGAGGTACGCATGTGTCAACACATTTTTTATATCAAATCCGAGTTTGGAATCCATCCCGGCTTCGTTCTTGTTGCTGCAATCCTTTTCCTTCTTCCGGGGGGTGCTCCCCTCTCCTCTACTTGGCTCACACCGCTTCACGGGATCAGAGTCCTCATTTTTGTCTCCCCCTGCGCTCTGCGATAGTAAGCTTATTGAATCATCGTCTTTTTGAATTTCTTCATTGCATGCATTTAGGGGTACACTCTCACTAAAGGTCATGAGGTACGCGCAGGGGGGAACTTTTCTATCCGTCTATCAATTCGCCGTCTCCCTCTCTCCGTCTTTCCGTCTCTCCGTGTCTATGTAGGTGCGTAGCGTTTAATGCGTGGTCCAATGTGTGGTCTAATGCGTGGTCTAATGTACGGTCCAATGTGCGGTCTAATGTGCCGTGCGAAACGTGAAAGTATGCGGCCCGTACGTTTACTGTACTGTTAGGCCCTCGGCCTTATCACCCCACAAAAGAGCAATCAAGAGAGCGAATAAACGGTCGATCGAACGAACAACAGCGGTGTCGTTAGATTGATCTTTTTTTTTTTTTTTTTTTTTCTCTCCCCCGATGTTTAGAAGTGCTTATCAGAACAGCTGACGGGTAAACACTCTGATATGCCCTTTTCTGCTGTGTGAAAAATTTTGCACACACTTAGAACAGTATGCATTAAAAGGGACATGAGAAAAAAAAAAAAGAAGATAATGATGCTGGGAGGAAGTGCGCAAATTTAAACGCTCAACCCCCCAGATGCCAAAACTGAGCACGTAAAAGTTCAGCAATAATTTGTGTGGTGTGCACGTATGAGCTGACCGTGCTGGTAATGAAATGAAAGGCGCAAAACGGAGAATGCGCGCTGGGCGTACAAAACGCGACGTGGAAAAAAAAAAAAAAAAAAAAACAAAAAAGAGAAAAAAGTGGGGAAAAGGGTAAACACGACAAAACAAAAAAAGGGTAGCCTCAAAAAAAGGGGCCGTAGTTTCAACGGGGTAGCTTCGACAGGGTAGTCAACATATCATAGCAGTAGCTTGCATCAAAACCCGGGGGGTAAAAATTGATGCGGTTCATTTGTTCCGCTCTTGCACATGTAAGCGTTTTTGTACACGCTCCCACGGGTGAACGCGTGAGTGCATCGCACCGCACATACACTTTGGCGTATGCAAGTCGGAGTAACACTAGCACATATACCACCCCTGCATGAACATGCGTGTGTGTACGTGTAGGCATACACTTACATTCTCGGTGCCTTATAAATAACGTAAAAATATTTCCACTTAACGGTAAAATAAAAAAAGGAAGGAAAATACACGGCGAGCTAAATAGTCCGCAAATTAGGCCATTAAAAGGTGTACTCGGCAAATAAATAACAGGAAATGATGACACACAAAATGAGGAAAAATAAAACACGATGAAACCACGTTTGTTCGTCCCCAAGAGGAAGACAAATACACACACGGGCATAAATTGCAAACAAAGAATTCCAACGTAGGTAAAGGACCTTGGAATGTGAAAAGGGAAAATATGGCAACACGGCACAAAGTAAAGGGTATGATATATGCTCCTTGGAGATTCTCCCAGGGGGGGCATAAAAAAAAAAAAAAATGAAACATTCACACGTTTACGTAGGTACTCACTAAACGCATCCACAGAATGTGTATAAATTTATTTTGCAATAAATTCGATTCAGGAGTTGCGCAGTGGATGTGCCAATTAGCTACGACAGTGTAAAAAAAAAAAAAAAAAATGGGAACAGCAAAAACGGGGCAGTAGCAAAATTAACGTGACAGGGTTTTTCAATTATTGGTGTTGGCTGGACCCCTTTTCTTATTCACATTTTGTAAGCTACTCACGTTTTGCCATCCTTGTCATGACATAAGACACGCAGCGCAGGACGGCAAATCAAACAAGCCAGTGACAATAGTCGTAATGGGGAAAGCAGCTCCTGCAGTCGCGTTAGCTGTAGTAGCGGCTGTAACGTATTCACAGTATGGATAAACAAAAAAAAAAAAAAAAAAAAAAAAATTCACTTCACGATGCACGTAAGAAAGGGGTACACTGCATCATCATATCTTAATGTATATGTTCGACGTCAGTCTTTACTTCACTTTCGCACGTACATACATATGAAATGGGAACATACGCTCAGACGAATTGAGAATCCTATTTTAGTACTAACTACTAAAGGGGTGATAAAACAAAACGCGGCACGAAAAATAGCAGCAGCGTAAACCACTTTCTATATTTCGTGGGCGCAAGTACGTGCGTGCGTAAGTCGGTGAAGTGAGATGTGGGGTCTAACTCTGGTGCATGCACATATGCAAAACTTGGCACAACCGTCACATCCAGGGTTTATTATTCCCTTTTTGAACTCCTCTCTTTGTGTGCGCAAACTACTGTGAAAAATGAAACAGTATGGACTTCATATTACATGTCCATTCACTATACTGCGCAGCATTATGAAATTTAGCTACACGTGAATATAAGCACGCATGTAAAAGTACGAATAAAAATATGCATGCGCACGTTGGAAGACTTTCACATAAAGCGGCAAAGCACATTCCTGACGACAGGGTGACGAGCTTTGAAACCTCATCAATATGTAGGTAAAAGTAAAGGAATGAAAATAATTATGTATTTCCCTTTACAAACAATCTCAAAAAGGGAAAATAATTTTTTTTTTTTTTTACAAGCTTTAATAAATAGCTTTTATTGGCACTTTTGGTAGGTTTCTTCTCTCTGCATTTTTTTCTGTTTTATTCTACCTTCAGGTTCTTGCAACCCTTTTTTCTGCCTTTTTTTTTTCCTGCCTATTTTTTAGTGCATTCATGAAATTTCAAACTGAGACTTACAAGAAATACATTCATATGATGAACATAAAATGTTGTTAATTCTTCTTACATCTTAAAAATGTATCATATGTAAATCAAATTTGTTGCTTTCATACCACAAATAGCTTAAAAGCTGGCAAAGGCAAATGCCAAACTGGTAAATTAGTAAAATTCATTCTTGAAAACGGGGGTAAAAAAAAAAAAAAAAAAAAAAAAAAAAATACTGCTTGTACCTACGGCGCGAAAGACCGCGAGAGCATTAAGGCGTTACGGTCCTACGCCGGGGTGGCGACTTCGCATAAGAAAATATATACAGTATTGCAATATATATATATATTTATATATATATGCACGTGCGTGTTGTTCGCGTACGTTGTTCATATATGCGCTGTTATCTGCGTGCGTTTCTTTTTGTGTTTTTCCCCCTGTGCGCGAATTTGGAAAAAATGATATAGAAGTGAGCGAATCTCGCACGGGGTGTTCCTTCAAAAATTAAAAGCGGGTTGGCATAATTCTTGGAGCTGTGGTGATGCGTTTGATTCACATAGTGCGTGCGCGTTACCTACGTATCTATTTACACTTGAGCTTAGCAAAAAACGAGCTGAGCATGTACTACCTATACTAAACCAATACCGGTTTGTGCACCCTACAATTGATGAATCGAAAAAGGAACAGACCCCTCACCAAGCGAATATATAAAACATACCGGGTTGCCTCTAATTTTCATGTACAAATAAAGGAATGTATAAACTGAGACAGGTAAAAAAAAAATAAGAACAGATAAAAACACCTGTTAGTGTGTTCATTCTTGTGACACTTCGCACATTAGAATATTTCGTTCCTCCTTCCGATGCAACTTTTCCTAACGAAAGGGAAGGAATGCACTTGTATATGGACAAAAATTTGTGCCATTTTTTCCCTACAAAAGCGTATAATCTTCATTCTTTAAAAAGAAAGGTTGTATTGAAAATAAAAAGTGAGATGATTTTATTCTGGGGTTTGGTGATTCCTCGCCGTGTGCTTGCACTCGTCTTAACATCAGTACATATGTATGTGCATTCTTGCGGCACCCATTTTCCTTGTTTGACCCCCTTGGGTGTGTCCCAAAATTTATGCGAATAATAAATTTAGAAAGGAACAACAAAAAGGCGCGGTTTAGAATTTTCATCCGATTTTAACCGCCACATAGGATAACGTATAATAGCTGAACACAGCAAAAAAAAAAAAAAAAAACAAAAAAGTCTAACAGAATTGGCCCAACGTGCGTTCTACATCAAACACGTGAAAGTCACACGTAGGCATCTCCGTGTAATTTTTTATAAGACTCTACAAAATTCATCGTTTTTATGCTGCGTAAATTTTAACGCCATCACATGGTCATGGCAGTTTTATTTCCCCAAGACCACCACCTGTTGGTCACATTTAAACTCACCTGTTCGCCTGAACGAAAAGATGAAAAAAAAAAAAAAAAAAAAACAAAGACAATAGAAACGCACCCTCCCCCTTTTATTAGTCACGTTGAGAAATATAAAAGTTGCAAAATAAGTCGTTACTTAAAAAAAAAAAAAGAAAAAGAAAAAATTCCCTTACCATAACATTATTAACTATGTACAACCCTTCGGTGCGCCATTAAAAGATAATGCCTTTTCTGCCTCATCAAAATTAAATAAAAAAGAGCACTCCTTGCAAACAATCCATGTCTGTACACTTTATGTGTGTCCACATATATACACACCTACGCGCTCCCCACCCACCCATGCGTAACATGACTCATGCCCTGAGTAGCCGAAATGAACAAACAAAACACGGAAAAGCTAATCAGCATAATAAATTTGCTAGATAAAATATCTGAACGCAGTGATGTAAAGAACCCCAAGTATGGTAAACTTAAGAGCTTTTATTCAAGCGAGGTGTCCAAGACGTACGACACTTTGGAAAATCAGAAGCCGATGTTCCCGTTGCACTGCGAAAATGATACGCGCGATTTTAGTGCCAGCAAAATAAATGACAAAATTAAAAAGACGAAAAGTTTTTTCTATTTCAATAAGTCATACTCGAGTGAACGGGACGAATCCTCTTGTGGCGACAAAGGATGGGTTGCGACGGGGAAGGTGGGGGATGTTGCTCAAAATGAGGGCCAAACTGAGCATCAGGCCGAACCGCAAACCGAACCGCTAAGAGAAGAAGTCAGCGAACGGTTAAGCGAATATCCAAAAGGTGCTCATGAGCGAGAGCAGCGGCCCCGCAAGGAAGACTCAACCGAAGGAGTAAATAACAAGTATACACATTTTCAAGATATTTACGAGGAAGGGAAAAAATCGCAAGGCATAAGAGAGACAACTGATTGTGTGAAAGGATCTAATCAGGGCGCCAAAACAAACACAACCTTTTCATTCGAAAGTGAAGGATTTTCCTCTGCTAAATGGTATACAGGTAGTTTCCACTTCAAAAGAAAGTCACAACATGAAGCAAGGCACTACTTTAGTGACACTGCATTGTTGGAATATAATAACCCCAGTAGGAAAAAAAAAAATTTGCTAGAAATGTTAAAGAGGCACAAGGTCAGGAAGTATCAGGAGAAGTGTTGTGAAGACTCTGTGGACAATTCGGCATTCATTGCTCCATCGAAGAAGTACGGATATGTGCATGGGGAAGTTGACGCAGGTTCGTTTGCATCCCACAGCGCATACGCGTGTCTGCTTGTGCATACGTGGACCCCCTTGGTACACACACATTTTTGAAAAAAAAAAAAATTCCCTTTGCAACATTTGCCAGACGAATACCTAGATGACAAGGGTCTCGGGCAGTTACTGGAAAAAATCATAGAACATTTGAACGTCAACCTGAAGGAGTCAATGAACATATACGTTAAGGAGGTAAGTTCAGGCGATCTTCGCACAACTGGGAAGGCACAATGCTAGTCGCTTCCCCGATCGCATGGCCCCACTCCACTTCATCCCCCATGCAGATAAACAAACTGAACAAGGCGAACGACACGCTAAGCACAAAGCTCGAAACTGCCGTTGAGAACAACGACGAACAGGTGAAAAAGACGCAGCAGACAAATGCTAGTATCTGCCTATTTGTGTGGAAAAAAAAAATACACAAGGGAAAAACGGCACGTGTTAGTATTCCTTGCGCAATCCCCCCCTTCCCAATCTCCTCTCGCCGTAGGCCCAAGAAATCAGAGACCTGAACAAACGGATAAGTCAAATAGGGGAAGAGAAAATCGAAATGAACAAGCGCATTGAAAATTACGAATTTACAATACACAAGTCAAAGGTTTAAGCGGGAAAAAGAAAGAAACGAGCGAAGGATAACATGCACACTTCTTGAGCGCATGAGAGCATCCCTATAAGATGCTCCGACAAAATATACCAACCCCCGCTACACATACTTCATTGTGTCCCCATTTACCTTCTCCCCCCCAAGAAATTAAAAAATGAGGGACAAGGCGACAACGAAGCGAAGAGTGCCCTGGAAATGGAAATAAGAAATCTCAAGAGGGAATTAAACCTTGCTAATTCATTGAACGACAAAATAAAAGATGAAAAGTTGTCTCTCCAGGAAAAAATAAAAAGTAAAACGGATAAAATTAGAAGAGAAAAAGACAAAGTAAGGGCAGGCACTTAAAAAAAAGGAAATGCTAACAAGTGTGTATCTGTGGTCGATGCATTTTGTGAAACTATCTTATATGCACGCACAATGCGTTTGTGCTTACAATATACACCTAAATGGTTATTGTCCTGGCCCCTTTGCTGACTTCTCTCACTTGTTTGACTTCTTCTCCCGTGCACCCATTTAGCTAAAAATAGCAAATGACTTGATTTTAGAAAAGAGCGATTTACTCATGCAGCTGCAGACGACCCCCACATTCGACGCATCGTCCCTAAAGGTATCATCAAAAAAAAAAAAATAAAAAAAAATAAAATGAAGTGCATGTATGTGTACACTTGTGAGTAAAATGGCGTTTATATGCCAAATGAGGAAATCACAGGGGAACACATACATCATTCTCTTTAGTGATAATGTGCAACAGGCTTCAGAGTGAATCTTCAGAGGACAAAAATGAGGTTTCCTCTACCGCTGACTAACCCTGAACTTCTCAAATGTATAATTTATTTTGTTCCCCATATTTTCCCTTCTTGTCCCCCAATGATAGAAGAAACGAAAGGAGGGACGAAGGTGCTCAGTTCGGCACAGACGAAGGCATGAACGAATCAGCAGGTGAGGAGAGCCAATTAAAGGCCAAATTGAAAAGGAACAACATAAGGAATAAGGGGTGGAATGGCAGACGCATACTCAGGAGAAGACATGTGGAACTGTACATGCCTCTCCAAATAATCTTCCCTCACTGCGCAGTTACCGAAGTGACACCATTGTGGACAACTACGAGAGAGTAAAAAGCAAGTTGCTCGAAAGTAATGAGAAATGCTATTTTTTATCGAAAACGAACCTTGAATTATTTAAAGGATTAAAAAGGAAAAGGAAAAAAATTGATACACTAAACAAGCAGATGTCTTACCTGAAATGTTTTGTGAAAGGAAAGGAAAAAATGGATCGGTGCGATGAATATCATTTAAAAGTATGGTTTGTGGGGAAAAGGAGTTTACCTTTGCACACATCGCCAAAAATACATTTATATAATATCCTTGTGCACCTAGACATAACATTCATCCTGTTGATGTTGTGGATTTGTCATTTCGATCGATCTGTTTTTTTTTGCTGCCTTTCCAATTGCGTAACTTTTTTTTTTTATTAAAGCAGGAAAACAGCACCCACGGGTGTGATCATATGGAAAGGAATAAAAGTCACGTCCCGTGTGCAGAGGAATACAAACCTTCTCAAACAAGTGAACATAATTCGCTTGGCAAAATGTCCTACTATGTACAAGAGGGGGAAATTGAAGGTCTCGAAAAAAATTATCACAATTTAACTAATGAACACAAATTGTTGAAGAAAAAATATGAGCTGCTATACAAAAAATATGCGCGATTGCTAGGAAAGGATTTGAATAAAAGCAACGATCTTGCCTTTAAAAAAGAGCAGGGGGAGGAAATTGTGCCAAACGAGAGTGACATGATTCATTCGTTTTACGTGAAAAGGGGGAAAAACAGATTGGACAGACCCTTCCAGCGAGGTGAAAATTTGAAGCGAACTTTCCAACGGAGGGACAATTTAATAAATTACATAAAAGCGAAAGTCATACATCGGAAGAACCTCCACGTGCGCAGATTTAGAAACTATGCGGGTAAACAAAAAAAAAAAAAAAAAAAAAAAAAAAAAAAATACATAAGTACTTACATACCTCTGTGTTACACATTTTTACGTGGCTATAAGTGTGTGTAAGGCACCCGTGTGGCCCCCACACCTGTCCTTATCTTTTTTAATGTTGCAGAAAAAGGCAACGACTACAGCGATGTGCAGTTCTACGTGTCCAACGAGATTTTAAGGAACATGGACGTGAAGGATATTGTAAACATTCGGTACATTTACTCCTACGGGGAGGGACCAGGTGAGTGCCCATTGGCATGTGTAAGTCTGTGTATTTGTTTTAATGTCGGCATTACTACACACACGTATAAGATTGATATGTTTTTTTTTTTTTTTTTTAATATATTTCCCTTTACCGTACGAGGTTATCCAGGAAGAGGCTTCATAATGTTTCTTCCCTGTAACCTTTCTCCCTTCACCTCCCCCTTTTAGCAGTTCTTCCTTCCGAAAAGGAAAGTTCACCCAACTATAATATTTGTAAATGCTGACGTGTGGGAAGTTCACCTGCCGTTCATTCCACGTTGTGATAAAGAAGGCAAATGTGAAGCTGAAGAAAACCCTTTTTTTTTTTTTTTTTTTTTCTCTGTCAAATAAAGATTATTACAATTTTTTTTACAATAAGTATGTGTAGGCACCTACCTAGATACCCGCGTAAAAAGGAAACATATAGAATTAGAGGAGCGCGGGAGGGTTGTAAAAACGTAATGGCGTGATTGTGAGGTTGAGTGCGGAGCTTCTGTTGGTGCCGTGTATGTTTTACCCATTTGTGCGTCTCTCTCACATTTTCACGAAGCATCTTATGGAAACTTACAAGGCATTGTGTAAGTTCATATGTATGTATTAGCACCAGCGCGTTCGCTCCCTTCTACATCCACACGTTTATATAGAGGGGATAGAATAAGTTCTATGCGATGGAACGCGATCATGTTTCGCCACTTGGTTTCCACCTCAGTGCAATAACGCGTGCATGTATTTTTAGAGGAGATTTTTTCAGGCACACGATATGGTCCATCCGCTTCCATGGAGCTGCTGTTAACAGTATGACGCGCCTTTACTGGAGCGCTAAATGTTGAATCGTCAATGTTTTTTTTTTTTTTTTTTTTTTTTTTGTTCGCGGTTATTCGTTAGCTTCCTATTTTCCCATCCTTTGGCTTGCTTATTCTCCCACTCGTTGACATACTGATTTGTTCACTCCCCTGTTGGCCTGCGTGTTCGCCAGCCTCGTCCCGTTTCCACCCCTTTTGTTGTGCCGTTACCAATTTTACCTTCGTGGAGAGATCTGAATGAGCCTTGACGCACTCGTTCCTACAAAAAAGGAACAAAAAAGGAACAAAAAAAAAAAAAAAAAAAAGCGTACAATAAAGAAATACGGAATAGAAGAAAACTTACCCATGATGAGAATAAACGTGGCGCGCTGAGGTACATAGGACACAGTAGCCATTTTTTTTTCATGCTCGCACAGTGTACACGACGATAGGGGTATAGCGGTAAAAGCGGCGTAACCTCTCATGCGCGCGGGCAGGCCATACAACAACCATCGGCGTAAAAAGGAAGAGATAGGATATCGTGGGACACAATGAAGCTATCCCCAAGGAGTTTGCCCTTTATTTTCCCCATTTTGACGTTTTTCCTTTTTCTCTTTAAGTATGGCTTGGTTACGGGACTGTACGAAACGAAGGCGTACCCGCTGATTCACCTAATGACGAACAGAAACACATATGTTGGGTCGAGCAACTATATGATTAAAAGCAATTTGATTAACCTACTGACCCTTTACAAAGATGTCAAATTTGAAGGACAATATTCCACCATAGATGATCTGCTAGACGTGGATGACGAAACAAAAATTGAACGGCTGCTGGAGGAAAGAATGAAGACCATCAGTAAACATGTGAACACACGACAACTCGTTAAATATTCTGGGTTTATTCACTTGTACGAAATTGTGCATGCTAGCAATTTTTATTTTTTTCTTCACTTTCTCATGAGAAATAATAACAATGGTGTGGTGATAGTGGTGCCGGAAGATTTGCACATAGACAGGGAGGAGTACCTGCGAGTTAATAGCGTGGCGCTTGCAGGTAGCGCAACAACTGATGGTCGAAGCAGCAATGACCGAAGCAGCCATAACCTCGTCACCGATGACCTGCTGGAGAAGCGCATCCTGTTCATGCAAAAGTTCCTGCTAAACTTTAAGCTAAACCAACCGGTCTATTTCGTACAAAACAACAAGGAGGTGGAACGCATTTACCAAAACTACAAGGGAAAGTTTGGCTTCTTCGACTTGACCAGAAATGTGAGCATCATGCCACTAGCGAAAAATCAACAGAGAAATAATATAAGCGCAAAAAACGTCTTCTATTTTCTAAGTAAAGATAATATCCACATCAAGACTGTGTTTAATAAGACCCAGAATAATGAAACCTTTCTCTTTACAAAAAAGAAAACCCTTGTCATCGCAGTGGATTACAATGTCTTTAACCTTATAAGTGCTTACCCCCCCCATAGCACAGCGACAAATACACAAGTGATTGCCATGACGGAATTAATAAAATTATTTTCTCATGTTTATAAAAACGAGGACGTCAACTACAACATCCTATTTTTATTCACCAACTATTACTTTGGTATAGATCATTTTCTCGATTCCATGAATGTCATATTTAGGGAAAACATCGAGTTCGTTTTAACTCTGGACAATTTGAACGATGCGAATTTTTTTATTCACCAAAGTAAGAAGTTACCACCAAATCATTTGATGCGTTTTTACGATATACTGAAAGGAGTGGTGAAGAAAAATCTCAAAATGGAAATCCAATTCAAGGAAGAAAAAATAAAAACGCATAGCAAACATTTGCCAAGGCTCCATGAATATTTCGAATTGAAAAATATGGATAGCATAACGTTAAGCGCAAAAGAGTTGGTCTTAAGCTTTATTCACAAGACACCCATGATAGAGCAGAAGATAAAACCAGACCAGGTGTCGGCGCATATTAAAAATATATTCGAGGCATTGTATGTATATGTAAAATCGTCCAAGGAGGAAAATTCAAAGGAGAAGAAAGACCTACACAAAGATGTGCTTAAGTATACCAACCAGATGATAGACACTGAAAAATTTATCCACCTAAATGAAAGCCTTAACAAATTTATGAAATTTTTTGTGTACCAGGACGAGGTTGGCAAGTTCATTAATCACATAAAGACGATTGTCAATCCATTTGTCACCGATTCGAATTTTCTCATCGTGGATTATAAAATCCCACACGATAAGAAACAGAAATACTTTCATCAAAAGAGTGCCATCATCAGTTTTTCCATGGCCATTTCCTACACCTTCCACTACCTCCATTTTTTGGTTGTTGCCCTCTTTTTAGCACTTGTCTACATTTTTGTAAATTTCCATGCTGTCCCCTCGTTTTACAAAGCGAAGGTTAAGTAACGGCCGCTATGTTGCCCCGTTGCACGTCTTCTTCTTTTTTTTTTTTTTTATAATTCGAACCTTCAACTTAAAATTAAGCCATTCATCTAGGCACATAGCAAGGCGCGGTCGACCCCTAGACGACCAATGCGTAAGCACGCTTAAATAATTCCCACCAAAGCGGTGCGAACAAAACCATTTAAATTCATTCAACACAAACACACGTGAATTTAAAATATTGCATGGACACATGCAAAGTGAGGCGGGAAAAAGAGAAAGAGGGGGAGAATTCCCCAGGACGGTTGAAAAAGAAAAAAAAAATAAAAGCACAGCACAGCACAGCAAAACGGGATGCAGTAAAAAATAACTAAGTAGGTGCAAAAACGACGAAACACAGTAAAAAACAAAGGGCAAATCAAATATGTAAAATAAAAAAGTTTGTGATGTATGGTCTACCGAATAGCATTAAAATAAAAAGCAAAAATACGTGGAACTGAAATGTTTTTCATTCAAAAATGATCACTACACAAAAAAAAAAAAAGAAAAAAAGCAGATAAGGCTCATTAAAAATAAATAAAACGGACGGAAGCATAAAACAACTGGTGATCCATAACTCCTTTGGTGGGAGGGATGCACAAAAATGGGGACTTCCCTTAAAGACAAAATGATGATAATGAAAGGAAACATAATTAAATGCGACCACGTGTATGCACAAGTCGGCATGCACCTATGGGTAGGTGAATGGGACCTCGTCGCTATACTTAAAACAGGAGCGAACTGTGATGCGAATGGTTCGTTGAATAGGCTCCCGTTCGTTGCATAATCGCCCTGGTTGGGTACGTCACCCCATGCATTTCCCAATCTCAACAGCCTTGTCTTCCTCTGTTCGGTTCCTCGCGGTACCGTAGCGCACACACACCCTCTGAAGTGCACGTCCATTACAACTTCTTCGCCAACCACACATTTATGCACTTGCATATAGGGTTGACATTGTCTCCTGAATCCCAATTTGAAACAAATGTACGAATTAAAATTTTCTTCCCCTCTCCCTGCCTTTTACAGGCTTACTCAAATTAAATTGCTTCCCCCAAAATGTCGCTAATAATTTTATTTTCATATATGTGAGAATAAACCGCAACTGATACTACTATATGTGAGGGAGTGCGTGGCGTTACACATTTATCAATCTGAAATATTTTTCTCTTTTGTTTCCATCCCCTTACCAAAGCTACCAACCAAATTGAGCGCAAAATTGTTGTGTGCAAATGGCAAAGTCGTAGGTATTTCACCCCCTGGGGGAAGGGGGGTTGTAATTCCAGTCTTCATTTTACTCTTCTACTAACTTGCCATGTTACACGCTTACTAATTTACTCCCTGTTTTTCTCTCCTTCATTTTTCCCCCCTTCACTGCGAACAGTGGCTCTCCATATTCATGGAGGATATCCCATCGCCGCTAACAACGGACATGTTTGAATTCATGGAGCACGTTTGTATCAAGCTATCATTCGAGACGGTAGGAAGTTTATCCTTTCCTTTCAGTTCATGCCTTGGCTTATGCGAGCGTTCTTCCTTCTTGGTGGTGCATACGTAGTGTCTAACACAAATCATTTTCTTCCTCAACGTTTTATAACTGATGTTAAAATTAACAGAGTTGTACTTTTCATGCTTCATTACATCATCTTCGTAATTTTGTTTCTTCTGTTTCCCATACTGGGGTTGCGTCCCCATTTTCTCGTCATTATTAAGGTTGACATTCATATTCATGCCACTATCATTTCTTAAAAGTAAATTTCTGGTGCCCACTGAGCCGTAGTTATCATCATTGTACTTCACCACCTTTCTACTTTGTAGCCTTTTGGAACCACTAAAAGAATTATACCTTAAATTCATATTTGCACTGCTGGACCTTCTCAACAGGTCGTATTTTTTTTGCACTTTGATGATTTCAAATTCTTCATCATTTATTTCTTTTGTATCGTAGGAACAGAAAAAATGTTTAATGCCGTCTACCACTTGGACACATTTTATATTAATTTTATTTAAGTCGATACATACATTTTTTATTTTTTCTTCATCATGCTGTGTTGCTAATATGCTATTCGCTTTGCTTCTTTTTCTTTTCTGTCTTTCCCTTGTTCTGGGTTCCTTTTGGCTATTTTTCCTATTGCTCTTGTTTTTCCCAATCCTGTTCGCTTCGTTCGAAGGTGCGTTCACCGCGAGGTCGTTTTTAACCTCATCAGGCTCCACCTTGCTTGTTCTACTCGCCGATGATACTTTGCTGTTTCTTCTGCTCAGCGCTGCGCTCTCTACACTACTGACCGGTATGGTAATATCCGTCATTCTATTTTCCTGCTTAATACTTTTATTCGTTTCTGGGGGGTCATCGTTCATTTGTGTGTACTCTTCCTTTATGGTTCCGTTTTGCACACACACGTCGGGCTGCTTGCTCGTGTTCTGTTTCGGTTGGGGACTCGCTTTTCGGCTGTTTTGTGGAGTCGCATGTGGACTCGTTCTGGTGCTCATCCGGACACTCGTTCGCGGGCTCGTCGTACACATGTCCTTTTCCCCCCCATGTGTACCTTCGTATGCACCGTCGCACACACCATTATTTGTACCTTCCTTCAGACTCGACAGGCGGCCCCTTACTACGCTTGCCGCCCTGGCCGCGTTCCCATGATACGCTGCGCGGAGTTGCCGTACCGTCTTGCCATAATAAAAAGATTTCAAATAATTCTTAACGTTCATTAAAATTTCTTCCTCTCCCTTTAAGCTATAAAAAAACTTAAAATATTTTTTAAAATATTTCACTTTAAAAATATTGAAATGCTCGAACCTACAAATGGAATACCTGCCCCTTCTGATCAATTTGAATATATTTAAAGCGCAATAAATATTTAGTGCCGTCACAATATACTGTTTAACATTTTCGTAATACTTTTCATATTTTTCTTTTACAAAGTCCAGAATTTCGGATACAGTTACGCCTTGGTTTAGTATATCATTTTTTTCCTGTAGCCTTTTATGAATGTCTTCCGTGCCATCACAATTCGTGTATGTGCAGGTGGGTGGCATTTCACTTTCTCTAGGAAGATCATTCCTCAAACTATTTTCACTCGCATGAGCAATGCCTGCACTGTTGTCCTTATCATTACTATCATGGGTATCCATATGCTGCTGATGGACTTCCCCTTTTTCACTGCCACAGCTAGAATCGCGCCTTAACGATTTAGCACTACCACCACTTCCAGCCTTATGCTTGCTGTAGCAGTAGTAGCTGCAGTGCATGTGGCTGTTACTACTGCGGGGTGTATTATCGCACTGTTCTATCTCACTGGGTTGAAGGAAACTACCAATGTAGTTCCCTTCTGCGGTTTTATCCCCCGAGGAGCGTTTTCCCCCTGATGCATTACTGTGTCTACGGGGGTACTTCCTACAGGGTCCTTTAGTCATATCGGTATGTAGAGTATAAATGTTATTGTCATTAAGATTAACCTTCAGTAGGGAGAACATGGCAATTTTAATTATTTCAAATATGATATGCTTTTTCATATTTTTTAGAAAAATATATTTTTCCGGCTGATCATCCATAACCCTAAATTTAACAGTTGACCCCATGTACTTCCATGGGGTGTTCGTTTGGTACGACAGATATTCACATATGCGGTCAATTTTTATGTTACTATTTCTGAGAGGCACATTTGAATTAAGTAATTGCATATTTTTGTCCATGATAAAATTTTTTTTTTTTTTTTTTTCTTTGTGGCGTACCGCCGGCATTTTTAACATTTTGCTATCTTCTACAAGTTCATGTTTATGGATAATGTAGTCTTCACTTTTCATGTTTTCTATTTGATCCTGTTCGTATACATTTGTTTCTTTGCCTTTTTTTTTAATGTGCAGCCTCTTAACTGCCTCATCTATATATGTAGAGTCTACACTTTTGTTAATTACGTGTAGACCATTTTTGGGTTTCCTTCCTCTTTTTCTGCCCCTCCTTTTCCCCTTGTGCTTATTTAAAGATTCATCAAAGTATTCGAAATCGTAGCTTCTCGGCTTCCTGTTTTTTCTTAAGTTATGGTGACATATTTTGTTATCTTCATTGTCTATTCCATCTGTGCCGTTCATTGTTTTCTTTTGTTTTACTTTTGTTTTGTCATACGGGATGCGCCGCGGTCTGTACCCTACCAAGTAAGCACCGTCACAATGTGTATATATTTTGACGGTAGTAACCTTTTGCGTATGTTCCCGTATGTATCTGTACTTAACTCTGCGGTGTGGGGAAAAAAAAAGATTAGACCCCCTACACCGGCCGGTAAGGACAGATAAAAAGGCCCACCGTTCGTAACTGTTATGCATAAGAACGTACGTTCATGCAAGTAGCCTACGCGTCCACAAGGGGGAAATTCCCAAATGGTACGCATATGGGACCTACATCAATGTGGGTCTGTATAGGTCTGCCTAAATGTGTGCAGGTGTGTGTAGGAGCACGAGCTTTACACAACTTGGATTTGCACTCGGTCCAACTGCTCACACATGCATGTTATCTCCATACAATTTTTGTGAAAGCTGTTCAAAAATTGGGCTTGAAAAAATCATTAAAATGTTAATTCAAAGATTTTTGTATAAAAACCCATCGGGTATGCATAAAACACGGGGCAGCAAAAAAAAAGAAATAAAATAAAATAAGAAATAAAAACAGAGAAGGGAAGAGTGAAGCATAAGCAACAAAAGCAATGGACAAAATCGGAAACGGTTACACTCACCGGTTGCCATAAAAACGGTAAAAACAACTTTTAATATAAAACCAGGAGGTAGAAAATGTCGGTAAGCAATAACAGTGTAGCGCCTTGTCCGACGTTATAACATTTTGTGTACACATAAAAACGTGTGTAGGAAAAAACATAACACGTATATTTACAAACACATATGCAATTTTGTTGCAAACCAATGGGTAGGAGGAGAAGGGGGGGGTGTACCCGTGAGCGCCCAAAAGGAGTGCTTACTCGTGTACACATATATAAACGTACAAACCTGTACAGAACATATGAAATGTTCACACAATGGGTAAAAATAAAAAAAAATAAAAAAAAATGCGAATTTCAAAAATATGCACACAATACGCGGCATACAGCAGTTCATGCATACACATTGATTATGTACATATTTTCATGGGTCCATACACTCACGTATGTCTGATTTTCTTTTTTTTTTTTTTTGTTCACAAAATGCCCCCCCACCCTTTTACTCGCACGCCATTTGTGCATAAAAATTTTGGTAACATATCGTGAGAATATCGCACATGGATTTCCCCTATTTCATTTCTGTTTCTTTTTCCGCGAATGGAAATGCTTTCAGAAATGTTTATGTTGAACAAATGACTTTAAAAAAAAAAAATAAATAAAACAAAGAGGAAGGGGAATGGCATGGGGGGAAATAATGATAATTATGGCAATGATAAATGACGATGGTAGTGACCACAATATGATAAAGGTGAGGAACAAAACTTGACAATAGGCGTAACAAATTCTGATGCGTCCGCATGAGCAATATGCGAGCTGAAGGCGCGCAGGTGGAAGTGTAAAAAAAGAAAAAAAAAAAAAAAATTGTAGCAAAAATTTACGTAATTTCACATACACTGCGGAAAAAGAAAAAAAAAAAAAAAAATTCACTTTTAAACATTTTAATTATTTAACACTGTTTGCCCCCTTTTTTTTTTTTTTTTTGACGCTCGTTTTTCTGTTGAGCGAAAGTAACATTAAAATACATAATTCTGCGTGTATATTTCATAGAATAACGCTTAATTACGTCTGTCCACATGTGTTTTTATAAAGTAGGAATGTAATGTGTTTCTTCTGGGTGAAAAGAGAACACGAACACTAAGGGGAACACTAATACGAATTCACATGTGCGCATGTCAAGTGTACACACACACGTACGTACTTGTATACATACATAAAGCATACGAAACAAAAAACGACTGCGCATCCACTGCGCTGACTCCTTTTTCACTGGACATACACATGACACACTCTTAGGGTACTGTCAACAGATTCCATAGAGCACTTAAATTGCGTCACTGTTCTAGACCAAACAAAAACTTGACATTATTTTCTTTTTTGCGGACATATAATTTTTCACTGTAGCATACAATATAATTGGGCGATGGCATGGAAAAAATTTTTCTACATTTATATTTATCATGGGAAAACAAAAACGTTTGTGCATAATTTTTTTTTTTTTTTTTGCATATACTTGCTCATTCACTAGCTCAACCTATGCTTACATAGCCAAACAAACCCGCGATGTGTAATGTACGTTGGCCTCTTCACATAATTACGTATGTGAAGAATTCACACTAAATTTTGAAAGCGCGTTGAGGATGTGTGTACAAATTCAATTGGGACACATTTTTGCGTTACAAATTGTGAGCGAGTTCATGACAACTAATGCCTGACCAGCGACAAGGCTATGAATAAATTCGACATACAAAAAAAACGTTTAGTGGACGTGTGCAAGGGCCTATAAGGCTTTACACATCTGTGCACAGGTATATATATATATAAGCATAAATATAGGCATACGTGTGTGCTGCACAAATATAGCTACCTGTCGTCTTGGGGAACCATTTTGTGTTTTTATTTCGTCCGACGAGGACATTTAAACTCTGCTTCGTGTGTTCATACCATTAGAAGTGGAAGTAACACGTGTTTGTAACTCTCATAGAAGTGCTATGGTTGACAAAGTAGGTTAAGAATCGTTATGGCTCTCGCTTTTTCGAAAAACTGTATTAATGATAAAAGGCAAATAAAACAAAAAAAAAAATAAATAAATAAAAATGAGGGAAAAGCTAAAATAGGTACACTGATTTAATATATACTATTAAAATATATATACAATGCATAACTATACAGAACACATCCTTGTTTTAAAATAAATACAAACTAGTTTCAACCCTAAATTTATCTCTGTTTGGCAAAAATGCAAGCTGTTACTATTTTTTTTTTTTTTTTTTTACCAATTTTTCAGTCGTTTTTGTCATGTCGGCTCGTTCTTATGCACACGCAAAGTATATTCATGTAACGTTATCACTACGTTGGGCTAAATACAGAATACATGTGCGTTGCACGAGCAATAGTGCAGGTGATTGCCTGATGCATGTTTTTTTTTTCAAGCACAGCTTGGATAACCGTTACGCATGCAGGTAGCAAATTGAGCGCAAGGCAAAAATCGCCGTGGCTTTAAATTGGGGGTAAAACAGAATGAGTAGCATTGAAAATGTAAAGCGGTATGTTTGTTGCTTTATCTGTTCCACATTTGCCATCTTCAAATACGAGTCGTCATTTTTTGACACAATGTAAACATAAGGCGCTGCCTTTGCTATAACACCAAAGGAAAAATCATTTTGGTCACTGCGCTCAAGCATAAAAGTGGCGCCATGAGCTATATATATACACATATGTGTACTTATGAGATCGCCTGTGCTGAGCTGCCATGAGTTTGAAAAGGTGAGAGGCTTTGGCGGCTTTTTTAAAAAACCTACATGTCACACGAATGAGCAATCAGGATGTGTATAATACGTACGGAGCATGTACATATCCAGCTGAAGTGCAGTCTTAACAAAATAATGGCATTGCGAGGCAGCGGATATACCCAAGGCTCAGGCCTCAGGGAAGCCAAAACGCCTTTCTCCATAAGCAGCTTTACATATATACACACAAATAAGCAAACGGTATGATAACCCTTTACGGGAGCCTTTCGATTGGCAATAATTTTACTCAAAGAATTGCAAAATTTTTGCCTGATCACCAACTTTGTTTGCAATGAGGGAAACAAAATGGTTATTATACCATCATAAGGGTCCACCAAAAGGTGGCTTCAAATGACAATTGCATTCGTTTGTAACACTCGGAATGCAGGGCGCCTGCGAAGAAAGCAACCCCGTTCGAAAGAGCTCCTATATGTGGGTATCCATTTACGCATATGTTAACGGAGACAAAATTTTTGCAAACGGCACGAAGCGAAATGGAGTCCCGAAGCAGGTGCTCTTCATGGCCCCAGAACAGAAAATCGATGAGCACAAGTTGGATGTCAATGAAAGTCCGCACATTTTTTTAAACCTCACTTCGCAACTGTTCTGTTGAAAATTTTTTCTACACATTTTTTTTTTTTTTTTACTCTACCATGTGAGCAACATATATGTATCATATGAGCAAATTTATAGGGATACTATGTCTATTTTTTTTTTTTTTTTAAAGCAAAATGTCCTATGCTTAAACAAGATGCTGGATCCTGGAGGCTGTTTTTTGCGGTCAACACCGTCTTGTGCAAATGTGCACATGGTAATACGTCAATTGGGGGGATGGGGATTTTCTCTTTTGCCATTTTTCACTAATAAAAAAAATATAGCATGGCACATTTAAAATGTACTCTTTCTCGCACCACACCTTTAATGTATACGTGTTTTGTGTGCATTTTTTTTTTATCACAGTGCGAGTTGCCCCTTCAAAAAAAAAAGGTACTGTTCATTTTCATACATTTTGACACCCATTTGTTCACGAGTAAATTTTAAAAGCGTGTTGGTTGTGTTTCGCACAAAGACAGGGGAATGGAAATGTAAGCACAATGGTATGCATGCAAACTGTTTGCAGAGGCTTACCGCGCCAGTGAAGGCATTTACACGCGGATAGGCAAAACATGTTTGCAATTTTAAATCTACCATTCCTTCAACGCTCGTGCGTATGTAATTTGGGTAAGCTTAACATAGCGGTGGAGTTTCCCTCTTCAAAACTTTCCCCTAAATTTTATCCCTTCAATGACTGAAAATGCGTTGCCCCACGTGCAATTTAATCATAAAAGGAGTAGGCTACAAGCGCGCGCGGAAGGCATACATGTAGGCGTATTCCTTTTTAACGCAAAAGAACGGGGCGTATCAACGTTGTGCATAATTTGTGACTTCCCGATTGGGGGAACAACAGAATTATGGGGAGCAGGAAACCAAGTGACAAGAGAAAAGCATGTCACAAAGAGGAATCACTCTTTGGTCATTTACTCACGGGACGCAAAAAAAAAAAAAAAAATCATTTCATGGAAGAGAAAATATTTCTCATAGGAGAACGCCCAACGGA